GAGGCTGAACCTGTGAGGCTGCTTTATCTGGTTGCCTAAGCCCCAAGAAGGACATACCCAAGAGCACTCTGGGGAGGGGATGGGTTCTGTGTGTTAACTGCCATCCTTTCCAGAGCCACAGGCCATGTGTCTGGTAGCTCCCAGCCCAGGCAGGCGCAGGCCAGGTGGGAGCAGATGCAGCACTGACATTCTGGCCATAGACCACTCTCCTGAGGTGGTGGCAACAGGTGCAGCCAAGGCATCACTGCCACCACTGATCATATGCTGCAACTCCCCAAAGTGAACTGGAACAAGGTGCCTGCCAAGTGATTCTCAGAAACAGACCTCCCTTCTGCAACTTTAAAGTGTGGCACTGACTGCCAACCTCCCCACCTTACCTCGAGTGTGATATGAGGGAGGCTGTCACACAGCCTTCATTCAGGGTAGAGACTCGGTACTGTAAGCTGCCTTGCTCATGTCCAAGCATAAAAGAGGGTTTCTGTGGCTGCATGAGTTTGCTTATGCTTTGAATTGCTGTGGCTGTCAGCGCTGTGTTTTGTATGAGAAGCGGGTGACGGGATTTGTGACACCATGCAGTACAGAAGCTGGGATTCTGAATCCAGCCAGGTGGCAGGCAGCATATTTTAAGCCTCTGCTCTGATCATAATCAGTTTGTTCATTGCATAGTTCTTGAAAGAACATATCAGCAAAACCTGACTATTTAGAGTTGTCTAAACTTTGTACTGGCAAGAGCCGCAGATGGCAGGAACAGAAGAGTACTGTTCTCGATACAGATCAAGAGGCACAGCTGTTGGGTTGCTGCACCCCTCTTCATCAGTATTCCTTGTTTGTGCTGTAAATAGGAACGTTCCAATGCTGTGGGCAGGTTCAACTAAGACTGACACCACACCTTGTGGACTTGGTATTCTCTTTTCTTTTATCCCTGCAGACTCCCCCAGTCATGTTTTAAGCAATCAGAGAAATCAGACCTTACGGCCCTTGAGGAACAATTCTAGTGTGTTCCCCATCTCTGGAAATGTACCTGTCAAGAAGCTTTCTGTGCAACAAGACCATCCACTGGCTTTAAAAACAGGTAAAACTTAGCCCTAGCTCTTCCTTTCTAGAAATCAAGGGTTCTACAAATGAAATGTTGCTTGAGAAGATGTTAATTTCCCCCTGTGCTGATCTAAAGGGTTCAGTGAACCAAGGAAGGGAACAAGAAGGAAGCAGAGTGTGACCCTTGACTTTCTAGGGAATAGTTATTTGGGAATCTGATATACACATACTGCTGGCTGGCCAGCCCTGAATTTCTGTTTCCTTACTGCAGGTTCTCTGCTGTGCTTCCCCTCTCTGTCTCCCACAGCTTGGCAGATACACCAGGTTTACAGGTCACTCATTCTCTTGCCTCTGAAGCTTGAAGCTAACTCGGTTTACTTCCATGGCCTTTTTTCACTCACCTACTGCTTATGAGCAGTCAGCTGTTATTGCCCCAGAGCTCTCAGATGAATACCCCTCCTTTGCAAGCAGAAAGGGGCCATGCTTTCTAATATGAGAGGAGCTTAGTGCTGAAGCATCTTTTCAGTCAGCATTACTGGCTTATTTCTATGCCAGGTGCTGTGATGTAAAGGAGTTTTAGCATAACTCTCTCTCTACGCTTGCTTTCTTGAGTAAGTATGTAACACCTTTGTCTTCCACAGGCGAACAAGACATTCAGTCCCCACTGAATGGAATTCCTGGAAGCATTAATATGCTACGGAGCAGCAGGAGCTCTTTGACTACCTCCGAAAAGCCAGCAGAGGAGTGGCCAGACTGGAGTGAGCCAGAGGAGACAGACACTGAGAAAACTGTGAACATTCAAATTCAGCCCCGAGAGCCACAGGGCAGTGTGGGACCTTATTTTGTTGAACATGATGTAGACGAGAAGCCTTGGGATGACTTTGAGCCCAGCAGCCCTAGTCCTGAACTGTCCTCAGGAAATTGCCTCACTGTGACACAAGCTGATGCAGTTGAAATGCCAAGGTCCCTGCCCAGTACCCGTCAGCTGAGCAAAGACTTCAAAAGCCTCAGACTGAGTCCCCCCCCAGAGTCCTGCCCCGGGAACAGCTGGAGCAATGACAAATGGGACCACCAGGCACAAGTGGGAGAAACTGTGCTGCCAAAAATGACCTTTCGGGAAAGGTTGAAGTCTTCATCAGAATCTGGCCTAGGAGAAGAATTCACAATCAAAGTGAAGAGGAAACCCATGCAAGACCCGGAGCTGGACTGGTTTGCTGACATGATCCCAGACATTAAACCATCTTCAGCTGTCTTGATTTTACCTGAAGTGAGGACAGAAGTGATTGTTCCCAGCCACTCTGGTGTAGTATCCAGCAGAGAAGGTGCCTCCCAGAATGTGCTGTTTTCATCCAAATTTGCAGCAGCTGATGTCACTGAGGTAAGAAGCTTAGGCAGAGGGGGTTAAATGACTGCACACTTGAGAGGATCCTGAAGCATGTACATGGCACAGCACACTATTGTAGCACCAGCTGGCTCCCTAATCAGATGATGGATAACCTGAGGAAGTAGTAGCAGCATATGCCTGTATAGTTGAGTCTTTACCTGTGAATACAAGATGCTGAGCTCTGAATGATGCATCTTATCAGGTACCAGGTGTGCCATTACTACAGCAGTAAGAGAGCTCTGTGAAGAAACAGTAAGGGAATGGACTTAACATGTACACTACCAAAAGAATGAGAATTTTAACTACAGCTTTTAATTTGTACTGCTGTTTCTTGGTTGCAAAGACCCTACACTATGTTAGAGAGAGGCCTGGTTTGTTGGACAGGTAGAACAAGGCTGGAATCCTGTCTGCTGAACAAGCATGGCACTGTGCACAAACAGAAGGAGGATGCTCAGGATTCAATGATGCTCCTGGCTCTTCCTGGCTCTTCTAGGAAAACCAAACAGTATTGTAAATAAAATACCAGGAAACCAGAACTTCTGGATTATAAAGCAAAGCTTTGGGGGGGATTTGTTTTTGTGAAAGAAAGCTGAGACATTTCTCCATTTCAGAGAACCAGGAGGGTTATAAAACTGCCTTTTTAAGGAAGCAGGTAAATCCCTCTAGTCCCATCATTGAGACTGCTTCTGCTTAGGAGGGGAGGTAGCACTCCCAACACCTGCTTGAACATATAACTCTGTTAGGGAGTAGGTGCTGATTTCAAGTTGTTTTGCTAATTAAGCCTCAAGAGAGCTACTGCAGGGGTAGCAGGTGGCATGGGGAGAGAAGCTTGGGATATAAACTGAAGTTGTTTATGACACTTGAAAATGGTATACTGTTTCACAGTGACAGAAGCACTGTTGTGATATCAACCTTATTTTGGGAAGGGGGGGAAGAGTCAACCACTGTAGTCCAGTCAGTGCTGTGGAGTAGAAAAGCAGCTGTCAGTGACAGATGAGATCAAACTTACTGTGTTAGAATACAGCAGGACAAGGGCTGTTTCGTAGAGGAAAAGACATCATCTAGTTCATAGCACCCTGTTATTAATGGGAGGTGGTTTTACTACAAACAGTTCTTGCTTTAATTTTAGGAAAATTATATAAGACTCTCCCTGTTAGCTTCCTCTTGTCTTTAAGATGCTTCCTTTTGTAGTTACAAGTTCTTTAAGACAGAAAGCTGCAAATACTGGCACTTCATTTTTTGCCTTTTGAGGGGCTTTCACCATTCTGGATCAATGTCTTGCTCTGCTATTACAAGCTGCACAGGCTACATCCTGGCCCCTGTGCTGTGTTAAGTACAGAAGTACAGTATGCATGCCTTAATCTTGGTAATTTTACATGATTCTAGGCTGAAGCTGCAGGCTGGGGTGAAGAAGAGGAGTTGAACTGGGAAGATGATACTAACTGGTAAGGGGACTGAAAGGATGGCAATTTATGGTGTGCTGGATTCTGTAAGAGAAGTTGTGGCTTCCCCACTACAATGGATAAGTACCTCAGCACTGCTTTTGCCAGAAGTCAGGCACTTGCTGCAGCAGCCAGCAAGATCCCGTGGGGCCTGATCTCTTGCCATGGATACTCCTTTCCAGTCTATGCCAAAAACTGCAGGGGTGAGGCCTGTACTCAAGCAATGTGCCCAGCTGCGGTGCATGCCGCTGCTACCAGAGAGGAATGGCGTGATGGGCGTGTTGGTGCTGACGTGCTATTGGAGGCCAAGAGTGGTGTAAGCAATTGTTCCAAAACTCATCCCTGCTCTGAAAAACTGATGACAATAAATGAAAGTCACACTGAGTTCCTTGGTTAATGTGCCTTTTTTTTTTTCCCCTCCAGAAACTTAAAGCCTTTAGAAATGGCTCCTTTCAATTTTCCTAACTAAGAGATGCTTTTAAGATGAATGTACAGTTTACTCCTTTATTTGTGTTTATATAGTTCTGTCAGTGGATGGCACAGGAGGTGCAAGGAAGCTTGCAGTGAAGGGACCACTGAACACAAACTGCTTAAGCACCACATTCTTTCTGCTCTTAGCTGTGACCAATAAAGACTTTTTAAAAGATGACCCTAGCATGGAGTGGAACCAGCAGCAGAGGTATGTTCAGAGAACAGTAGAGAGCCTTAAATTGTTATACTTGAGTGTATTTTAAAATTAAGATAAAAACACCTACTGCCTTGTCACTTGTACATGACAACAAAGGTAACTTTTACAACAGATTCAAACATCTTGGTATTCAAAATACAGTCTCATGAAATGGGTAGCACCATACAAGTAGCTTAGAAGAGCAAGCTACGCATCGGCAGTGTACAAAATCACAGCTCAGAGGCATGGTAGTGACCATTAAAATACATCAGTCCTTCCAGCCAGTTGTGAAAGACAGGCCAACATCTCACACCCCAGTTCGTTTTGGCACATTAACTGAGACCCAGCAGCACAGTAGAGCATCGCCCTGTGTCACAGTTTTTTCTTCTCAGCAATTGTGGTACAAAGGCATCTCTTCCTTCTGAAGGGGAGCTGAGCTGTTTTATTGTCTCTAACCCCTGTTGAGCACACCTTACCGTACACTGTCTCTGAGGATGGCTATGGCTGTGTGTAGAGCCTCCAGTTTCACTGCAAGCCAAGCAGGGGGTGATCCCTTCTGGAGCAGCAGCTTCACAGCCTCCACTGCCCCCTCCACAGTGCCTATTGCTGACTTATACTGCTCCTCAGAGGGTGGGTGACAAGCTCTTTTTGCCAGAGGCTGCAGATTTAAGTAAACATGAGACATCATTTATAATGCTCTGCACAAGTGATCAGTCTTCATCCAAATGCAAGAAAATCCTTAGATGGAGAAGAGCTACAAGAGACTCCCTTCCTTTATGAGAGCTCTTGCTGTCTGGCAGGCAGTACAGAGCATTCAGGCATAATATTAAGGGCCAGGAGTGCATGCAACCTTTTTTCTTAGAACATGGAGGGCAGCAAGACCATCTTGAACCTCTTTAGATACTTCCCAGAACTAACAAATCAACAATAGAGCCCAGATGGTTTAAAAGTGCACATACCTCTCCTGTTGAGTCCAGCTCTCCATCCATTTTCATCAGCTGTGCAATGCAAGTAATCCTTTCTTGCTTCATGCGTTCTGTTCGTGCTTCTGTTGTCTCTTCTACCTGCCTCGTCTAGGGAGAAAGTCACAGGAGAGGTAACTAAACCAAGGCAACATTACCAGCCTTCATAGACTCAATTTATGTGCCAGAACAAAAGGGAGGGAGAAATTTTAACAAGCAGTTTGAAGTGAATCTCATTTCTCACACACTTTTTCGAGCAGATTGAGGTTATCTAGAACTCTGGTGTAGCATCGCTGGCAGCTATCAGCTCTTTTGCTAATCACCTGCTTGTCAAATAGTGCTCATCCAGATAGCCCTATTTTAGGTTACAGCATGATAACTACCCTCTCCTTCCCACTATCTGTGTTCTGCATGAATAGCTATCTGCTCTTAAAGGAATTTTTTCTAACATGCAAAAAGGATGAAGATGTTTCATACATGTTCATTTAGCTTTCGGAAACTGATCCACGAGAAACAGGGAAGGAAATCACACAAACCAAATGATGAAACCTGTCTTGTTATTAGGTAACTTCTTTACTTATAACAATCACTGCAATTTAATCTTTTGCTTGTTTTGTTCAAGGAGGGAAAAGTGAAGCATTTAAATCAAAGTTGGGGTGTAGTGGAAGAACAGCTTGCGCAGGAATGGCAGTTGTTAATTCTGCTTATTAAAGCAAGTAGGAAAGTTCAACAACCAGATCAACAATTTATTTTAAAGTTACTTATTTAATCACCATGCAGATAATGCAGGTGTAGATAGACATAGGCTGTGTACCGTCTATAATGGATGTGTGCAGCATCAATTAAGAAAGCAGTGAAGTGGTTCAGCAACATATGTACCTTAGCCAGAAAACTAACGACTTTGTTCTTAGTTTCTTCAGAATTAAGGCACAGAGGAACAACATCTTCATGGCTTGTTTCCTGTCAAAAATGTTGAGTAATCATTGTTTACTACATTCATATTAAAAAAGGAACAGACAAAGTAAAAAATGTTTCCCTGACTGTCCCTTTCTTGTTGCAACCAATCTAAGGAACCAATGCTTAATCTTCCTTCACTTATAGCTCCTGAAATCGCTTGCAGCTGCACTAGGCCCCATTACTTTTGATGTGCAATAGCATCTGTAATACTGAGATCCAGACTAGTCATGGAAGAGCAGCAAACATTTAAGACAGAAGAATTTCTGTACAATAAAAGTTAACAGAGCCAAATACACACATCCAGAGTTCTGCTGTGCTTACCTCTGCAAAATGTGTGAATGCCTCCAGTGCATGCTGATGAATCAGCCAGGTCTGGTCAGCTAATAGAGAAGCAAACACACACGACAACTGGGTTACAACTTGCCTCTGAAAGAAGAACGAGTATCTATCAGTTCTGAAGTTAGTTGTGCATATCTTACCATTATGATTTATTATTAAAGAATTGTTCTAAGGTCAAAAGATAGGTCTGTGAAATGCAAGAGACTGCCCTGTCTGGCGAAAAAAAAACCCCACACTCTAAGGGAGGTGACATGTTCTGCTCTTTCTTCTTGGAGGGTCACATGTCAGTCCGTTCTAACTGGTGAGAAGCAACAAGCAAATGAATAAACCAAGCATCTTGCATGCACTCAGCATATCTCAATGAAAGACAGAAATGCCATAGACCAAGATTATTATATCCTGGCACTCCTGTATGTAAAGAACTTGATCTTCTATATTTAAATAAATAGCGTATCTTTTCATCAAAAGACTGAAAATTATTTCACTAAGGCCACAATTATATTCACCTGTGCTTCTTGCGGTATAAACACCTTTCCCATAGAAGACAGAAAATCCACCATTGCTAGACGAACATGATCTGGGGGATCCAACTGAAAAAGGGAAGACTGCAGGGCAAATACCTGCAAAAAAGGAACCCAGTGAAGCTTCATCACACAGATTGTAGGTGAAAACTGTTCTGTCCCATCCTTAAATCTGAAGACACTGATTTTAGAAAAATGGACTGAAAACAAAAGGAGTGCTACACCTTGAATAAAATGGGGTAAGATAAAGCTGCTGCAGTATGCATTTTAGAAACAAATTAGCATGCTCTATAGCATATCCACAGATCTCTTACAGAATAATGGGATTCTCAAAAGCAGTGTTCACCAGAGTGCCGTATACTTGGTTTAAAGATCAGGAAAGTAATCAAGGAAGAAATAAAATTAGGAACCTCCATATGTTAAGAGAAGGTGAGACCATGAAATAACTCATTTGGGATTTCATTAAATTACAAAGAACTTTGTTTTCATGAAGTAATTTATTCATAGAAAGGATTTATTTTGGGGTTTTACCTGCATAATCAGTTGAGCATCTAATGCTTGAATGAAAAATTCCAGAAGGTGAAGTAATAAACATAGTGTCTGCTGGAGACATGGTTCATCTGAGACCTTTAACACATCACAAGATATTATGAACATTGCATTTTTATGGAATAACTACTTAAGAAAGAATTTAAAATTATGGTAGTGTTCCAAAATTCTTAGCTAACCTTACACAGAGAAAAAAACACAACATAAGCAGCAGAAGAAAAATACTAAAATAGTTGTATCAATATTTATAGGTAGTCATACTTTAAAAGACCCTTTTCTTCAATTTTATTAAGAATATTTATTGCCTACCCCTCATCTCTGTCCTCCACTCGCTAATATAAGCACTTAAAGGTTATATGAACTATTTCTTTTCACTTATCGGTTGCCAAATGTCTTCAAAGAACAGCTAAGGTTTGAAAAGACCTCTGAAGGGGCACGTTGTTGGCTCTTCTTCACTCACACTCTCAAACTTTCATTTTTAGTCCTTTTTTTCTTTACTGCAGCTGCAGACATGGACAGGTATTCAGTTGCAAAGGAATCGCGTTACTCCTTGTTCTCAAATCTGGGAGGCTGCTAGCTCTATGGGTTTTCATGTGTTAAGCTATGTACTAATTAAATCACCATGAGTTTTGTGCACATTCTCAAGAACATTAAAAACAGGCCAATTTTGTAACTGGTATGAATCAGAATGATGTATTTCAGACTTCCTGTTAAGCAAGTCTGAATCCAACACTAAATAACAGATGGAACAACAAGGAGCCATGTATGTAATGCTCAGGAAAATTCAAGCTCCGCTTCCCAGAGCACGTGCCTGTCTAATACATAAACCAGCTGACAGCAGATGGGCAGCACAGTTACACAGCTTTACAGAAACAGTCCAATCCAAGTAAAAAACAACTTAGTACAAACACATGATGAAACAACACCAGCCTCTCAAAAACATCATGCTTTCACGATTGGAGCAGCAAATTCTCTTACCTGCTTAGCCTGGAGAAAAGTCCAGAACTGACCAAGCACCCCCAAGACAGATGCCTGAAGCTCTGCCTCCAGAGTATCATCAGCAAAACTGCAGGCAGCCAGCAGCACAGAAAGGGCAGTATTCTAGTAGGAAAAAATGTGTAAGACTGACCAAAAAAACCTACATGTAAACCAAACCAAAACTCTTGATTCCTATTAGACATCTGAAATGATACAAGATGGCAAGAAGCCCAATGTGCTGTGTCAGCTGTACAGCACAGCTAATCCGCTGGGCCAGCAGCCAACAAAGCTTCCAAAGCAAGGAAACCATCCGTTACTTCTGTGAGTTTCACACAGTGCTGCAGTCATTAGCTGCATTGGCAGGCGAAAGCTGGCAGCAGATAATTCATGTGGAAGTCTCTGGTTTCTCACACTCCTTTGCCAGAGACAAGTGACCATCTTTCAGATTTGATGCCGCATAAAAACAGCCAGGATTTTAAAACTTAAAAGGAATTGTACGACATAGTATAAATCAGAAATTCTAAAGAGAAATACGTCTGCTCTCCCAGAAAGCAGACCATATCTAGAGTAAGTATTAAACCGTAAGACCTCCAGTATCACCCTCAGAGTAGAGGCTCCTAAGGTGCTGTGTACTGGCACAAAACATTAAAAGGAGAGTTCTTGCTCAAGCATATGGGAGTTAGGCATGGAAAAAAGCTGTGCAACGCACAGAAAAAACATAACTGGGGTGAGAGCAACAGAATCCTTACAGTTTGGAAATCCAGAGTTCCCACATTTTTACAAATCTCCTTTACCACACATCGGAGCTCTCCCAGAGCACGCCTGCTATTCAGCCATCGTCTGCACTGTGCAAGCCCAGCCACACAGAGCTGACATGCCACTCGTTTCCTCAGATCAGGATTCAGGGCCTTTAGGGATATGTGCTGCCACACAGCCAAGTTCTCCACCTCTTCTGGAACAAACTTACGAGCAAATTCTACCTGCAAACAGAAGTCGGTATGAACTAAACAGACCAGAAGACAATTTGATAATCTATCAGAAAGCTGAGAAACCAAAATGCAGTACTAGTTTGCTTTAGAAATACTATATGAAAAACACTGTGTAAAACCTTTTATTTAACTAAAATCCAGCTTACTGCTACCTCCCTTGTCACATATAGGGCATCAGAATGATTAAGCAATTTACTCTTTCCTGTGCTTGAAGCAATGGCTCTCTAACAAGTGGAAGACCGAGCTTTAGGCCTCTCCAAGGTATACAGAGGCACTGACAGAAAGGGATGCTACTCTTTGTATCTGATGGCATGAGAACACTCATAAACACCAGTCACAGATGCAGTGACAGTTTCAGCAAACCTGGCTGATGTGCCATTTTCATACTTAATCAAAAAAAGGACTACAGTACTGCCCAGTTAAGACCCCTCTTAGGTGTCTGTGCCTTTCTTGGCAGAACACATCTTTACAAATTAGAATCCACTATGCCAAACTAATAAGTACAATATCAAGCACAGCAAACGAAGAACTGAAACAGGATATTTTAACCACAGGCCACTGATTCAAATCTCTCCTATTAAAAGACAGGAAATGCCGTGCTATACTTGCCTGATGATCTGAAGCCATCAAGAAAAGCATACGCCTCAGCAGAACACCCAAGGCAGAGACCTGGTAACAGTCACTGGGCCAAGACTTTATCTGAATTAGGATAAGAGGGCAATGCATCTAATTAAATTAATTTAAAAAAAAATCACCACTCAGCAAATTAATTCTATACAGAATGTTCTGAGAGTTACAGTGTGGGATCACAGCAGTAACACTCTACGTAAAACTGCAGAACATGTTGGAAATAGCAGACATATTGTTTTATATTTTCACAGTACTGCTTGTGCTAATTATTAACTCAATTTGAAGATTTCAAGCAATCTCCATTTGGATTTTGGGGGGGAAAAAAAAAAAAAAAAGGAAATTCCTGTCTTTCGTCATTTAGAAAGTTTGCTGGTAGAACTAGGATTAAAACTGGTGCCAAATTGCAAAGATCACTGTGGTTCTTACCAAGTGGGCAATCACAGCAACGTGGTGAGCACATAGTTCGGCTGTTCCATACCTGAATGCGAGAGACAGAAGCTTGTGAGTCTGTATTTCCTACTCTTTTACAGACTAAGTATTACAAATCTTGTCTAAGAGATGGCCGTTTCCTCTAACATATTTAAACTTGATACGCACAGAACCAGTTTACTTGCAAGAACCATTCCAAAGAAGAATTATTAAATAATAGAAAAGGTATGTTCCCCTTTTTTGCATGAATGCTTTATATCTGAAAATAATCCAACTCTGGGACAATGTGCCTTAAAAAAAAAAAAAAAAATCTTCAGGAATTATGTACAACAGAACTAATTGGATCTGTGGAAATCCAGCTTCACCTGTAACAAAAAACATCTTACCGGGCAAGGAAGCACCATGAGTCCATTGCTAGCAAAGACGTGATCATACTAGAACTCAGCACAGCATCCAGCAGAGCATACTCCTGAGGAGAAAATACATATATGAATTCACACAGAAACAGACTGCAGGCCTACTATGACTTTAACTCCACTAATTAGCCTAAAACCTAGTAAGATTTTTCTTTCTTACCCGATTTAAAATGGTTATCATACTCTCTACTCAGCTACACCATCAAGCACACCTTCAGTTTTGCACACCTTGAAGGTGCAGGTACAGTCATTTCAATGGGTTGAGGATCCTTCACTTTGCAAGACATTTCATCACGTGCATCCCTTCTTCACAAGGCAACTCGTACAAATTTCTGGGTTGTTTTATTTTTTATATTTTAAAACCAATTTTCTTGCCAACTTTATTAGCAGCTCCCTGAAAACCAAATAAAACCTCTTCCTCTTGTAGGAACACAAATTTTATCTGAAAGAGGACTATAGCATTCAGAAAAAAAACTAAATTAGGGCTATGATTTCTGTGACAGAACTTTATGAAGGCTTACATTTATCAAGTTCTTTTGATTGTATGTAGTAAAAAGTGTAAAACTTCTAAAACTTTACATAATAGTCAAAGCCCAGAATACTCCTCTGAATCAGAAAATTTTGCTTATTACCATTTAATAGTATGTTCTTAGCTGCAATCACAACAATTTTATCTACTCTCAATATTAAATTCCACTTTATTACTTCACAGTATAAACTAACATAACCAGATGAAGTTCATACAACTTGAATACCACATGAAAGAAAGCACTGAACTTTTTTATTATAACTTGACATTCCCACCCCCGAAGAGAACACAATTTCCAACACCACTGATGTTCTCAAGAACTTGTGTGAAGCTTTTTTTTTCCCATTTCTACAAGTGACATTTACTGTATAACTGAGCTCCAGTGATGTAATTGCATCACAGCAGCTTTCTACAGTACCACTTCATACCTAAACACCTCTTTAGAGCCAGATCATTAGAAAGAACTCATTCTTTTTTAAATAGTACCAATGCATCTGCATCCCATAGCGGAAGAGATGATAAGCAAAAATAATCTTACCAGCTGAGGAAAGTGTGATGGAAGCGTGGAAGCAATGAAGGAGCACAGGTGGACACAGACATAGTGATAGAGAGTGATGGGAACTGCCAGTTGTCCTGTACTGATCACCTCTGGCAAACACACAGGGAGAGAAAGCTCACCAAAACATTGCTGGAAACTGAAGAAGAGAGCTGAAAATAAAGATAGGCTGCAAGGGAAAAAACAAAAACAAAAATGCAGTTGGGTTACATATATGCAAATCCCAAGTCCTGCAAGCAACATCTGTACTACAGAAACTTTGTCTTTGACCAGAAACAACAGCAATAATTTCAGTGCTTTTGGATTAGATTTTAGCTCCTGACTACATTCCTCTTTTACAAATTCAGGTGACTATTAACAAGTTCAGGCATAAAAACTAAGATTTTAACTTCGTGAACTATCAACAAATTACATATACATGTCTCTTCTTATCCTGGAAGTACTCTAAATACCATTCCTTTCCTGAAAAAAAAAACCAAAACCAAAACCAAGAAGATATCCCTGGCTCCATATTCTTCACTCCTGTAGCACTGAATATCAGATCCCATTTTTCTCAGTATAAGGATGTAAATCCATAGAATCTGATAAATTTTACTACTCAGCTGCAAGGGAAACCCCAACAGCTGAGCCCCTCTGCCTGTACAGACTGACCGCTGTGGTGAAGAGCTACAACGAAAACCTTTTTAGTACCTTTTTCCCGTGTTCCAGAGAGTCTGCACTTCTTCAGGCTGAGAGGACAGTTTGTCCATTATGATAATGAGGATGAGACACTGAGGCAGCTGCTGCTCAGGAGGGAGACCTGTAGAAGTTGGGAGTTTTTTTTAAATGTGATGCTAGTTGCCCTGGTTAATATATTGTGTGTGTAAACTGGCTTTTAAGCAAGTGACAAATGATGAACAACTGGTGAAACATAAAAGTCCCCAGTAAAATAAAAAGTTACTTACAGACATGGCTGGGAAAAAAGAATGTATCATCATGAACACTGTACTTGAATGAAAAATAAACGCAATACACTGTATCAGGTAAAATCTAAAATACTCCAGTTATGAACTATCACTGCAAGGTGCTGCAAAGGAGTTACAATCTGGATGCCTCATGCTTCCAATTCTTCTTAAAAGCACTGGATGACTCAAATACTGAAAACAAAGTTTTCTTCTAAGAGGATAGGCCAGGATAATCACAAGGCAAAGAAAGAAGTCAGTCAGCTATCTCAGAATTATGACACGCTGGTCAGGGCAGAAATGAGGGAGTATGGAGTGTTACAACAAAAAGCTGATCATTTTCCAATTTGAAGACATTCTACTTATCACAGAAAAGAATTAATTAGGAAAAAGTAGCTGTCTTCCCCCAGCAACAGTACAACAGAGAAATTCCAGCCTACTTTGAAAGTTTGTAACAAATGTGGACTGAAACGACACAAACCCGCAGAATTGATAGAATTTCTGTTACCAGACTAATACTGAAGTTATTGTGAGTACTCTGGAAAAGATACATTCAACAGCAACATGAACTATCTGTTATAAAATTCATCAGACCTAGCATGCAAGCAGGCATATCATAGTATTTACAAAAGAACTGGGAGACAAGCAAACCAGTGCACAATATTGCCTGTGGTCCAGAAAGTCAAAATATCAATCTTGATCCTTTAGAGATGCTTGCACAATACTCACAGCAGTGGTATCTGTATTTTAAACCCACCTAGCTTTTCACTTAACACTTGCTCCATAAATGGGCTAAAGGGAAGAAGCTGATTGATGAGAGGGTCCAGAGCCACAAGAAACACCCGGGATATTTCATCTCTGTGAACTTCAGAAATCTCTGGAGCATAAAGACTGGGAGGAAATTTGCTGGGGGGCGACCAAAAAAAAAAAAAAAAAAAAAATTAAATATTCTCAGTAGCATTTGCAGTAACACCACTTTTGAAAAGAGCTACAAAAAGACAAATTAATGGTTTCCTTGTTATTGTGAAACAAAAGGTAGAAATGGCTCCCCATTTCAGAATATCAGTTGTAGCCTGAGAGTTACAAGTCTGCATTCGACCTTTAAAGTAAGTATCACAATTCAGTATTTTACAAAACACTGACAGAAAACCTTAAAAGCTCATGGAAAATGCATATACAATACATAACAAATATAAGGAGAAATATACCAAATTGCAAAAAAAAAAATCAAGCAATGAAAAGCCAAGAAAACATCTGGATACACAATTTGACAGTCGTAAATGTGACAGCACTAATTTAACATGACACTAACAATAGGTACCACAATTTCTCTGAAGAATAAAACAAACCTGGCCAATAAAAGAAAAAAAGATGTGATATGAGAATAAAGCAAAAGAGATCATGAAATGAAAACCTGCTACTCTTGTAGGTTTTTTTACAGTCACTTATAAAGCAACTGTAAAAATCCTACCTTCCTACTCAAAAATCCTGCCCAGTTTTCTGAGTGAATAAAAGTTTACAACCTTCCACTTGAGAAAGATCTACAAGGTAAGGAAAGTTAGAAGAGGAAACTCATAAAAAACCATTCACCCAATCTTGCAGTGTAACATACCGTGAATTCATGCACACATTTCACCACAGAACCTGGTCTCAATTCCAAAAGACTGTCTGAAATCAGCCCACAATGGCAATGGCCACTTTCCCCTATTCTTCCCCACTGTTGCACCAAACAGAACAAAACTTTTGGAAGAAAAACAGTAAGCTGCTTGCAGATTGTTATGCTTTATGAGCATAACATTAAAAAAACATTTGCTTCCAGGAGAACCAGAGTCCTTTTGTGAGATTTCACAAGACTATAAACACAATAGTAAAGCTATGGAAAATTTCAGGATACTGTTTCTGATCCTCTCTTTCTTCCCAACAAATGTTTCCATACATTGTCTTAAAGTAGAAACAATCTGTCAAATGTTACTGCTGACACTTGCATTTGCACCTGAAGGCTGCATGGAGACCTCATACCAGCCTTCCAATTTCTGACGGGAGGCTACAAGGATGCCAGGAGTCCCTCTTCATTAGGGACTATAGTGAGAGGACAACACGTAATGGGTTTAAACAGAAGTTCAGGTTAGATATAAGGAAGAAGTTCTTCATTGTGAGGGTGGTGAGGCACTGGAATGGGTTGTGCAAAAAAGCTGTGAATGCTCCATCCCTGGCAGTGTTCAAGGCCAGCTTGGATGGAATCTTGGGTGACATGGTCTAGCATGAGGTGTCCCTGGCCATGGCAGGGGTGTTGGAACTAGATGGTCTTAAGGTCCTTTCCAACCTAAACCATTTTACAATTTTCTATGACTCTGTGATTCAGTCCTGGATTTTTCCTCTCACTAGAATTTAAGACAAGGGGAAAACAAAAAAAAAAAAAAAAAAAAAAAAAAAAAAAAAAAAAATGTGTGTGGTTGTTTAGTCATATATGAAAGAAAGAGGAATTAGGATTACTAGGGAATGATAATTCTGAATTGTGTTGACTGTGCATGATACCACTTGCACCACACTACTGTTTGTTTCAAAGTAGAAGGTGCACTGCTGGGTTGCTCTGTTATAACTTGGCCTAACTGCTTCGTTGCAAGATGACCAATGGGTGAACCCTACCTTCAGGAATTGTGACTTTAGGAACAAGAATTTTCAAATGAACTTGCATAAATAGACCCAGTTTTCAAGACAATCGATCTACATATTCTATATATAACACAAGAAATGTTGACATAAGTTATGGCAAAGTTGGTGGTTTGTCAATAGCAGACACTGATAGCACTGATCAAGAATGGGGTTCAGACAACCAGTATCACACAAAAACACCCAGTTTATGGGGGAAAAAAAAAATTAGATTTCCATACATGAAAACAGAAAGCAACAGCTCTGGAACAAGAACTGTATTTTTACATTTCACAATACTTGTAGATTTAAGAATGCAATATGGACATGTTAAGATACTATCAATAATCAACTCTTTCTACTTACCTGTATATCTGAAGAAAGAGCTGATGTAACTGAGAACACGAATCAGAGAAGAAAGAAAGAAATTCCTGCAAAAGCCATTAATTTTCAATCGTACTTTTAACATAAAATACATGATAAAATACACCTTCTGTTCCGCCATACTGGTGCATAAAGTACTACACTGCAAAAACTTAAGTTCTAACAATCCGCAGCACAAAGTAAGTGTAAAGCAAACAATAAGCAAAGTATGCCTAAAATTAATTACACTGCATGTAGATATATTGTAGGTAAAACAATTAAATTTATAGGCTTATTTTAAAAAACTAGTAAGTACAGTTGTAATAGCCATTAGAGAGTTGCACTCTGAAGTGATCTCATACATGCTGTAAGGCAGTTCTACCCTGTCACAATTCTATTCATTTTGTGCCCCTTCCCCACCATGGGACAAGAACAGATGCAGACTGCACCATCACTGCTGTTCCTAGAGAGGAAATTTTTTCACGTACATTCTTAAAATGGGTAAATTTACAGCATGTCTTCTAACAATGAAAAGATGAAACACAACAACAAAACGGAACAGCCAGGAAAAGAAGAGGAAGATGATGTCCATGCTAACAGTACATGGGCATTTCTTATTAATGTGCCACATCATTTTCAATTGTTGAAACGAGCAACAACTCTGAAAACTTAGCAGTGGGTTTCATCTGCTTAATTCTTACAGATGAACCTACTATTGCATTGACTCAAGGCTGCCTGTAGAGATTGGACATCTCCTACCAACTCCTCAGTAACGACACTACTTGTAATAGCTTACTGTTCATTTGTTTTCCTGTTAAATCCCAGCAGTAAAGCTGTTTAACCTTGAGAGTATATATGGGCAGAACTACAAACAGGTTACGCATGAATGTTAATCACACATATGATATAGTCATAAATTATTAACGTATTGCATATTAACATATCACATATTACACATTGATATGTATCACACATTCCATATTAATATATTACATATATTCTATGATACACAGTACAAAATTATTCCCTTCGCAGGCCAGAGGCTTAAATTTAATACTAACATAGAATTCAAGTATTAAAACCTACCTTGGTGTAGTGTACCAGGGAATTAGCAAAGAACCTGCACAGTTTGACTGTCTTCTGGAACAGCCTGAGGTCAGTGCCCTCCTGTCAAAAAAAAAAGCAGTTCTAAAACTTAATATATAGAGTAATACAATAAAAAAGAAAGCTGGATTGCTAACAATGTTCAAACTTGATTCTTTACAGACTCTGCAGCTATGGGGGAAAAACTTTAAAAATGTATGCCTCAACATGTTTAGGGTAACACTGAGAACTGACATGTTTTGACTCACGGTGGGATATTGCCAGTTTAGGAAATTAAAAAAAAAAAACCCAACAAAAAACAAAACAAAACCCCATAGAGTATTGTGGAAACTTATTGTCAGTGCCCCCATCTAAACAAAGTGATTGGCCTCATTTTCAAAAGAACAAGGTGTTCTGCCCACTATATGAAGTAACCCCCCCAAAAAGCCACACAGCTACCAATACAAACCCCCACATTCACCTCCCACAAAAAGCCCCAAAACCTCAAAAAAACCCCAAACCACTCCAAGCAGTAATGCAACATGAAGAATTTATTCTTCTCAATTTAACAGCAGCTTTGGAAGCTTTTTACTTCACCTGTATCTCTGACATCTTCATTTGCTCAGCCAGTTGCAAACAGGAGTGAAAAGAAAGGAGAGTGTCATTGCACAGGCCACCGAGGATATCACTGTGTTTCAGATGGCACTGCAGCAGAGAATGATGCTTCAGGCTTTGCCTAAAAGATAGACAGATAAACAGGTATTTGTCAGAAGTGATCATGCTATGAGTTACTACACATCCAAATAACTGATTTTTCTATTTAGGCTTTTATACAACACTAATTGGTGCAATATCCATGTACACCAAAACCAGAAATTTAGAGAGAACCACCTTCTTCACAGCCACACAGAAACATAGAGGACAGGCAGGACGAAAGTACAAACAGCACAACTCAGGCCAAAACCGCCTACAAACCTGCAGGGTCAGACCCCTTAAGATTATTTATTCAGACAAATTTTCCAAGTTTTCTTGTGCACTGTGATACAGAAAGTCAAGCTTCTGTTACTTTTGATGCATGATTCCTACCTACCTTCACTGACAGAACCTTTAATAGTGCTCACTAGGTAAATTTAGAAATTAAATTTCTAGATTTACTTCTAGCTAAATAGCCAAATTGGATTCTCTAATTTCAACAGTATTTGAAACACTGAACATAAAGCTATTGAAACAATGGCTCTTTAGAATTACAGTCTGTTTATCTTACTATAAAATCCAAAGAATTCAATGACATACTTAATGATGAACTTCCACGTATTGGCATGAAGAGCATGGTCCATGTTGGAAATGACAGAGCATATCTCCAGCACAGTGTGGATTACTAAGGAGGAAATAACAGCAACAACTGAGTTACATCAGATACATGAGTTCACAGCTGTGCTACTCTCCTAGGAAAACAGCAGCTGTCACAAGCACTAATACCACCACACTGACATCAAATCAGAAAAATGGCTCAGCACTTAGGTGCTGCCCCTTTCCTACAAACCTACACAACATGCTCCATCCCACAAAGAAAGTTTCAGGGTAAAAATGGAAATACTTCAGCTGCTTTCTGGGATGCTGGTCAGGACAGCAGGAACTGAGCATACTCATAACCCTGCTTTAAAAATTCAGGCACACTCTCTATAGAAGAAAGACTGAGAAGACTGAAAAAAAAGTGTTAGAGCCACATATACCTGACACCATATCTGTGATGTTATCTTCAGTAGAAGCAGAGCCCATGGAAATCGTATCAAGCAGTTCCATCAGCTGCTTCTGAAGAGAGTAAGTTTCCTTGAACATAGCTTGTAAGAGGTCAGAAATCAAGTGTAGATGCCCACAATACAGAGATTCACTGTCCTGTAGGTAACAGGGAAGAGGAGGTTTAAAAAAAAGTTCAGGAATCACAGCCCAATTTTTCACATGCTGAAAACACCAAAAGCTTTGTCCAACATTTCATTGGGAAAAAAAAAGCAAAGACGTACCTACTGTAACTCAATATACAGCCAGACCAATAGATTCTGCTACCACCCTGTTTGTTAAATACAAAATGCTATTCGCCTGCAGCCTCCCCAACAACTAATGAAGTCTGCCCAGCTCTAGGGAGTTTAACCAGGCTTTGGATTCGGCCTCAACATATGAACCTAAGATCATACCTCTGAACAAAACAGTACAATGTTAGCAACAAACGCAGCAACATTCCAAGTTTTTCCCAATACATTCAAATTAGAATTGTTAGATATTTGGCACCAGAGTTCAACTCCTGACATGGAAAACTGATGTAAATGTTTCCATAAAAAAAAAATTGAAAAGTGAAAATTAAGGCTATTATGTCCTTATGAAAACCTTGTTTTATTTTCAGTGCTCTAGAAAGAATTACTGTTGCATTGTGTAAACTACTTAACAATTACTTTTAAATTAAAAAATAATTATATATTA